TACAGTGCCTTGCGAAAATATTCATACCTTCATTTTTTTTTCCATGTTTTGTTATGTTGCTGCCTTATGTTAAACTGCTTTAAATTTACTTTTTTCCCACATTAATCTACAGTCCATACACCATAATGGTAAAGCAAAAGACAGGTTTTTAACATCTTTGCTAATTTATTAAAAATAAAAAAACTTAAAGGGATAGTTCACACAAAAATTAAAAGTCTGTCATTAATTACTCATCCTCATGTCGTTCCAAACTCGTAAGACCTTCGTTCATCTTCGCAAGCTGAAGTAATAAAATTACTAAAACTGAACAAAAGCTAAATAGAATATTAAAATAATAATAATAAAGAAAAAAAGCACATAAAATTACTAAAATAAAAACTGAAAATATAAAAGTAACAGCTAATTTAAAATATTAATAAACACTATAATAGTATATAAAAAATACTAAAATTACACTCCTGGTAAGAATGTTTCTATGAAGTTAAGTGCTGCACAATAATTCTTTAAAAATGCTTTTGTATTCTATGGTAGAAAAAGATCTACATACACATTTGAAACGAGATGAGGTTGAGTAAGAAATGCTGTTTTTGGCGGAACTATTCCTTTAAAGGGGTCATATGACGTTGCTAAAAAGAACATTATTTTTTGTATTAGTTGTAATGAAATGTGTTTATGCAGTTTAAGGTTCAAAAAACACATTATTTTCCACATACTGTACATTATTGTTTCTCCTCTATGCCCCGCCTTTCTACATCTCAGATGATTGAATGGCTTGTTTTTGCTTTGTAGTCAACCAAAATTAAGAAGGGAAGTAAAGGTGACTGCACCATGCTGAAACCTTCTCTAATGGCCTCCGTACCTGTAAGTCAGACTCCTCGAAACATTTTCACCTGGTTTCATTCACATCAATCATGTTTAAATCTCACACTCCTGTTTCCTCTGTCAGGAAATAATGGACCGGATCAATAAGAACGTCATGAGTAAAGTGCAGGAGATGAACTGCGTGCAGAGAACCCTGTTCAAACTGGCCTACGACTACAAGCTCGAGCAGATCAAGAAGGGTTATGATGCGCCCCTGTGCAATATGTAAGAGGAGATTAAAATAGGTCTTCGGTTAATCACATTTGCTCTTGTTAATGAGTCTGGAGTTTTAATCGTCTTTGTTCCCTCGTGTTCAGTTTGTTTAAGAAAGTCAGAGCTCTGCTGGGTGGAAACGTGCGGATGATGCTGTCCGGAGGAGCCCCTCTGTCTCCCACCACTCAGCGCTTCATGAACATCTGCTTCTGCTGTCCTGTTGGTCAGGGTTACGGTCTTACTGAGACCTGTGGAGCGGGAACTATAACTGAGGGTGAGGAGTCCTGCTACATCTGAGCATCTTTTCCGGCCCATCTTGCACTATTTTAATATTACTTCTGAGCTTTGTCCCAGTGCTTCAAACTGTGAAATAATGATGACATCTTCCTATGTTGTGCAGTTGCTGACTATAGCACAGGACGAGTTGGAGCTCCTCTAATCTGCTGTGAGGTCAAACTCAAAGATTGGGCAGAAGGTTGGTAAATACTACCAGTTTTCCTTATTGTAGATACTTGTTCATATCTTAAATCTTAAAGAAGTAATCCACCAAACATCTCCAAAAAGGACAAAAATAAACACTAAAGACATACACTATATACCAAGTTTACTAAAGTAATGCGAAAGCTTGCTTTGAGGAACAGTCTTTCTTCACCTTTACCAATACTTCAGCATTCCTGTAGCTCAAACAGTAGAGCACAAAATATCACAAAGGTCATGGGTTCAATTCCCAGAGAATGCAGGAGCTTATACAGCTGTATCTTAATGCAATATAAGATTTTGATAAAAGCATCTGCATAATGCATGAATGTAAATGTAATCTGATGGCATCAGTGACACCAAAAGCATCATGTTTGGTGTCATGTGAGCTTCAGGGAAGCAGTGTTTGTATTTTTAACTGAAACTATTAAAAATGGTTTTGTTCATTAAAATAAAGCTAAGCTAAAAATCTTCCCACATAGTGACGTAGACATGTGGGAGCATGTTTAAACGAGGCGTTTTAGGAGGACGTGGACGAGTCTTAACTTTTATAAAGAATATCTCTTTGGGTTTGAGACTTTAGTCTTTGCAACTTTAGGGATCTTATCTATTCACGAACAGCTTGTAACACTCCAAAGAGAAAGGAAAACTTGAAATCGCATCATATGACCCCTTTAACCTGAAAAAAATTCAAACAGTTACAGCTGTCGTGATTCTCCTTATACATCAGGTGGCTATACGAAGCATGACAAGCCTCATCCACGTGGTGAGATCCTCATCGGCGGTCCTAATGTGACCATGGGCTACTCCCGGAGTGAAGGCTGTAATAATGAAGACTTCTTTGCGGATGAGAACGGCCAGCGGTGGTTCTGCACTGGTGATATAGGAGAGATGCACCCTGACGGCTGTCTTCAGATTGTCGGTATGTTTAGATTCAGCGTCATAATGATGTCTTCTTTCTTGTTTTAGTTAAAATCATATATTTGTTATCTATATGTATTATTCACATCTATTGTATGTAATGCCTAGATCGCAAGAAGGACCTTGTGAAACTTCAAGCTGGGGAGTATGTCTCTTTAGGCAAAGTTGAGTCAGCTCTGAAGAACTGCTCTCTCATTGACAACATCTGTGCTTACGCAAACAGGTTCGTATGCTCGGCTTTGTCTGACACATATGGGATGTTACTGACCCTAGCAAAGGGTCCTCTCTTTAGAACAGCAGACGTACTGTATACAGACCTCTTTTCTCTCTCTCTCTGCCCACCAGTGACCAGAACTACGTTATCAGCTTCATTGTTCCTAATCAAAAGAACCTGACAGCTCTTGCCAATCAGAAGGGCATTGAGGGCACATGGGAAGAGATTTGCAACCACCCAGTTATGGAAAGGGAAGTTCTGAGAGAAATTAAAGAAGTTGCAACTTCAAGTGAGTATAACCTAACAGTATTTATAGCAGCGAGGTAGGGGTGTGCGATATATATATATATATATATATATATATATATATATATATAGTCTGCGATAATATCGTAATTAGGGATGTCCCGATCAGGTTTTTGTGCCCCCGATCCGAGTTATTACTTTCAAAACACCCCTACAGAGCGCACGCATACATTACGTGAAGTTTAGATTAGTGCGCGTATGCATTTAGAGTGCGTTCTTTCACTGCATGATTCAGTCTATTAACATACATTTAGAATGATCACAAATTCAAGACATAGGGGCAGAAAATGTATATATTTATACCACTTCATATAGTTAATCAATTTCAAACGAAGAGTGCCGTTTTTTTCTCCAAAAATTACCACGATTAGAAATGTGATAGATTTTTTTTACAGCAGTTCAATAAACAAGAAGTTAAGTAAGAGACTTTTTAGACACCATATTTCCTGTTTATGCGGTATTTTGACAACAAAAAATTATTCCAAACACAGCCACAACACTGTTTTGAGTCTCTGAGCAACATGACGGTGTTTCGTTCCTGAATGAATCAACCGTTTAAATGATTCGGTTCAATCGCAATGACTCACTTATTAACAGTTTCTTGCTGCCACCTACTGGCGGTTTTAATTTCACATTAAATTTGTTGTTTGTTTAGTCCATCAGACTTTGTGCACACTTGACACTGACTTCACGCAACTTCAGCATACACTACCATATAAAAGTTGAATTCAGAAAGATATATATTTTTTAAAGAAATTAATACTTTTATTCAGTAAGGACCATTAAAATGATCAAAAGTAACAGTAAAGACATTTATAATGTTACAAACTGTGTTATTTTAGTATCATTAAGATTATAGTATCACTTCAGTTTTTATTAATATTGTATTAGTTTTTTATTTTTAATTATTTACTTAAATTTGTTTTATTAAGAAGTTCCATTTTCCATTTTGAATTTTATTCATGTATTCGTTATTTTAGTACACTAAACTAAATGAAAATTATTAGCTGAAATAAAATATATATTTTTTATAATAAAAATATTAAGCAGCACAACCATTTTCAACATTGTTAAAAATAAATGTTTCATTAGCAGTAAATCAGCATATTAGAATGATTTCTGAACTGGCGGTTTTAATTTCACATTTAAAGTATCCTTTTATTATTTATATTATTTCAAATATCAGTATTAACGTTTTATGTTTAATATATCAAAACATTATTTATCCATTTGTAATTGCAGGTTAAATGCATTCATGTCCTGCATTAAACAGTGTGTAAATACATCAAATGCCACTTCAGATGCAGTTTCTGTGTTTCCTCTGCATTGCAAAGATTAATTTAGTTGATACTGATTTATAATGTTACAAACTGTGTTATTTTAGTATCATTAAGATTATAGTATCACTTCAGTTTTTATTAATATTGTATTAGTTTTTTATTTTTAATTATTTACTTAAATTTGTTTTATTAAGAAGTTCCATTTTCCATTTTGAATTTTATTCATGTATTCGTTATTTTAGTACACTAAACTAAATGAAAATTATTAGCTGAAATAAAATATATATTTTTTATAATAAAAATATTAAGCAGCACAACCATTTTCAACATTGTTAAAAATAAATGTTTCATTAGCAGTAAATCAGCATATTAGAATGATTTCTGAAGGATCATGTGACACTGAAGACTGGAGTAATGATGCTGAAAATTCAGCTGTGCATCACAGAATTGTTACATAATATATTCAAATAGAAAACAGTTCGTCAAATTATCGTTATAAAATCCCAGAAAATATCGAGATATAATTTTTTGTCAATATCGCACACCCCTACAGCGAGGTATGTGGTGTAAAAGTGCGGACACAAAATGTGGACACCGTAACAAGAAATTCACTGATCTAATTAAGACAAGACCCCTGAAGGCCTGCCTAATTTGAATTTTTGGCAAGAAAAACATGCACAAGATTATTATTTTTTCATCCATTTTATAATATTGTATTAGTTTTTTATTTTTAATTATTTACTTAAATTTGTTTTATTAAGAAGTTCCATTTTCCATTTTGAATTTTATTCATGTATTCGTTATTTTAGTACACTAAACTAAATGAAAATTATTAGCTGAAATAAAATATATATTTTTTATAATAAAAATATTAAGCAGCACAACCATTTTCAACATTGTTAAAAATAAATGTTTCATTAGCAGTAAATCAGCATATTAGAATGATTTCTGAAGGATCATGTGACACTGAAGACTGGAGTAATGATGCTGAAAATTCAGCTGTGCATCACAGAATTGTTACATAATATATTCAAATAGAAAACAGTTCTTTTTACATTGTAATATTTCACAGTATTACTGTTTTACTGTATTTTTGATCAAATACATGCAGCATTGGTGCGCATAAGAGACTTTTAAAAACCTTTAAATAGTGGAGTTGTATAAAATGTTGTGGACTCAGAGCATGTCTTCTAATGGTCTTTCCATCACTGTAGTTAAACTCCAGCGCTTTGAGATACCAGTTATGGTCCATCTGAGCCCGGAGCCTTGGACCCCTGAAACGGGCCTGGTGACGGACGCATTCAAACTGAAGAGGAAAGAACTGAAGAACCACTATCTCAATGACATCGAAAGAATGTATGGCCACAAGTAGGACCTCTATCACAGCCAAAGACATCTTCATCAGCTCCTTGCTGTACAACATTGCTGTATATCAATAAATGTTAAAACACCATTTGCCACAACTGTCACCACTGCCCATTGCTTAGTGATGCGAGCAAATTTTCAAAGACGAACAGTGTTGATAAGCCATTGGTCTGTGTATTTTTATTCCTGAGCTTTGTGGGCTTTTCATTCAGAGCTCTGTAGTCTCTCTGCTGTGAAATAGTTTACAATTAATGTCGTAGCTGATTAGTTTGAGACCTGTTGGGTAAAGGACGATATTTATCTTATCCAGCATAAAGCATTCACTAATTTCTCCTTTTTGTATACAAAAGGAGTCTCTTGTGAAAAGGATTTCATCCATACAACAGCGATATACTGCCATCACCCTGCGCTTTCTTTTTTCGAACGTGTGAAATTCTATTGTTTGTAAAAATGTTCACTTGTTTGGTTTAATAGAATTTGAAGACACAAACCGCTAGCTGAGGTGAAGTCTTTGCACAGCGGAACTCCGCCTCCTTGTAGACGCAAGTAATATATAGTGATGTTTCTGTGCCTTCTGATTGGTCACTATTTTAAATGTTGATTCCCTATTGGCTGCAAATTAGTATTTGATTCCTGTGCTTCATTCATGCAGCGCACTAGGAGTTAGAGTCTTCATAATGGTTACAAACCATGTTTTTTATATACTTGAGATTTCTTTTTGTTTTGGTTATGAAAATGTATGTAATGTTTTGAATACTAATTGACGCATTTACTAGTGCGCATGGATTGACTCAGGACAGGTTGAGATGACTGGCAAGTAGTTTATTGCTCATTTGACCTGTTTGGTGGACTGAACTTAAATGAAGGGAACATTTTTTTTAGGAATAGTTTTTCCCTCTCAAGCCAGAGGTAAAGTTTGTATTATATCTGTATCATCTTTTCACGTCAAGATTTTTTTCAAACCATTCATTTTACTGTTAACAGTGTCTTGATTGTCACAAGCTCGCTTGTCTGTCGCAAATTCCACTTCTGCAGGCTTTTAATATATTTGGTAATATGTCATTAAACCAGTCCTCAATACTTAATGTATAAAGCTGAAAAGGAACAAACCCAAGAATATGAATTTTGAGGTTGAGGAACCCTTGTCAGTCAGTTAATATTGTATTCTGTATTTTAATTTATTTGGTCAAACCTAGACATTTCATTTGAATCCTTGTTTAATTTATTTCCTTTTTTTTTAAGGAAGTGTGATCTGTTACAGGCACTGTAATTTGTTAGCTCTTGGGTTACCGAATGTCTCATTCTAGAAAGTGTTTTATTTATAATTATTTTGTCAGTTGCACTATTCTTTTTGTCAGGGATTTTTAGCCATTGTTAAACGAATAGCCATTAAGCCAACAAATTAATCAGTTTTTTCCCCACACAACCCTCAGGGTTCAAGTCACCACAAGCTAGACTATACAGCAGTCAAATGTTTGCATTGATAAATTGTGAATTCACTTGTAGAATGTTCTATGATGCTTATTTATTGTGGTTCACTGTATGTTATATTTGCTGAGGACAATTAAAATCGTTTTCTACTCAAATTGTGTGGTACGCCATAGTAGAAACAGTTTAATGGTCAATGGGTTTTATTTACAGAACATATTAAATTGCAATGAGTTTACAAAAATGAAAAAAAGCTATACAAAAGATTTGAAGCTGCAATTCAGTTTGCCCAGTCTTGAAAGCGAAAGCAGTCGCTTGCAATCTTCCATACGGGCTGGTCGCTGTTAGGAGAGGCTTGGGCAGTTAATAAGAAATTCTGGTTGAAGTATCTCTGCTTGTTTCCATCAAATTTCACTGAGCCAGCTGTAACCACCAACAAAGTCATTTGGCCTTGAGTTGCTTGTTCTGAAAAGAAAAATGGTATTTGATAAAACAATAGGGAAATATATTAATAATAATAATTAAAATATGATGAGCACGTTGTTGCATACCGTGCACAGGCTGGCAGTCAAGAGATTGCACTTGAAATTCACTGGAAGGAAGAGACTCGAAGAACTCGCTGAGAGCATCATGACCTGTGACTGCATTTCCATTCCACACTAGCGTAGCTTTGTCCAGATACAGCCTCGTCAAATTCTGAAAACATTGATTCATTATCATGAAGTCGTTAAATGCATTATGTTAATTAGCATAACAGATCGGGACACACGCTATTAGAAGTGCAGTTCAAATTCCAAGCATGAGATGAGCATACCCTTCTTCTCTTGTCCATACAGTCATAATAGATATTGACGAATTCGTCCGAGTATCTGCATGACTGATCAACCAGAGTCCTGAAGTCCTGATCAGTACCGAACACAACTGATGAGCACAGTTATGCAACATATTTGCATAAGTATTTAGATGTATGTTGGCATCAATGAACACTCACCACCGTTGAAGCCATGAAGTCACCGATCTCCCGCCGACTGTTTGTGATGTTCAGTCGTTGTGAGAATTTGATATCCAAACTACTATTAAAACATACAATAACCAGAGCGATTTAAAATGTAGGTAACGTTACGCGCCAGATGAAAAAAGCTGCGCAGCGTAAAATTACAGTATGTAAGAAAATTACTTGTAATCTTAGTTTATCCCCACGTTGAAAAGGGTGATATTGCGTGTAAAACAATATCAGAATTACGCTCTCTTACTCTTATATATAACGTTATATAAAAAATTCTACATCGAGAAAAATGTGCTCAAATGTGTGTGTTCACGATTATTGTTCCGCCGGAAAACTACACCGTCATTAAGTTCCCAACTACAGGAAGAAATGAAATACAAAGATGACAAAAGGCAAAGCAAAGTACAAAAATTATTAAAATACATACTTTCAAACGCACAAATATTAGAAATCTTATGACATCGAGAAAAATGTGCTCAAATGTGTGTGTTCACGATTATTGTTCCGCCGGAAAACTACACCGTCATTCTTCTTCTTCTTCTTCTTGGTTTTTAACGGCGGCTGGCACCAACGCAAATAGGTGCATTACCGCCACCTTCTGCTCCGGAGTGTGAAACAGAGTTTTAAATTCTATTTACCAACCCTGTATCTCTTATAAAATCAAAGAATACATTACTATTTATTTCATTTGCCCATTTTATTAAAACCACCTACACCGTCATTAAGTTCCCAACTACAGGAAGAAATGAAATACAAAGATGACAAAAGGCAAAGCAAAGTACAAAAATTATTAAAACACATACTTTCAAACGCACAAATATTAGAAATCTTATTGTTGTTGTTTTAATTTAGTCCACTGTTCTGATTTTCCTCAGCTTAACAATAGAGTTACATTTTCTGTTAGTAAGTTTACATATGCATATGTAAATTTGTAAATTATAATACGATTAATTAATAAAAATGTTTGAACATCTGTCTTACGATCATTTTTGAAGCCAAAATAGTACTTTTTTTTTCAAAACAGAAATACGACTGTTTGAAAATGTTTTCATAGCTTTCTCATTCTTTGTATTATACACCAAAATGTAACACAAAGCCAAAATAAATGTAAAGTAATTTGAGGGGTTTTATAAAAATAAAAAAAAACACACATATCCTTTTAAATAAAAATAAAGAATTTATAGAATATAAAGTTTCTAAATATAAAGTATGTGCGGCTACACTGGGTTTAAATGAAATCATACGGATATAATATAACCTACAAATTAGCCAAATGAATGGCTCAATCAGCGTTATTATTACAATTTTAGATACGTTTGTTAGTTATTGTATATTTCTTTTAATCAGGCACCATTCTGCGGCACCAAAGTAAGTCGTTTTATCCAATGAAATTGAAGCTTCACTCCACACTCCAGATCAGTAGGTGGCGGTAATGCACCTTTAAGTTGGTTTGCCAAAACCGCCAATATACATCAGAAGAAGAAGAAGAAGAAATTGCAGCTTGTCTGTTTGGGGCGGGGCCATTTGGATTGAATCGTTATACTGGCGTTCCCCAAAAGATGGAGGTAAGAGTATCAAATGTAGAAATCTGTAATTTGGCTTATACTGGGAAGTTTGAAGAACTGAAGAAATGCGCGTTGTCTGACAGCTCACAAGCGACGAGAACAGATCAGGTATGTGGGCAGTGTAGGTGCACATACACAGTTTCAGCATGATGCTATATTGAAGTCTGTGCATTGATTCAGAAGTTACAGTCACGTGTTTAAAATTCCGTTTGATACAGGACAGCAGGACTGCTCTGCACTGGGCTTGTTCAGCTGGACATGTGGAAATCGTGCAGTTTCTGTTGGATCTTGGAGCTGAAGTGGATCTCAAAGATGATGTGAGTCAGCATTGTGTCATGCTTCAGTCCAGAAGCCTTACGCTGCATCAATTAATGTTATTGTATTTCAAAAGAAACTTTCCTCTCGGTGTTATTACTGATCTCTAATTCATTTAAATGTGCAGTTCATACATGACATCAGGGTTTTTGTGGTTACATGTCCAGATAGTAGCACTACTGACACGTTGTCATTCACTGCATATCCTCTTGGTGGAGTTCTTTACTCTTTTATGTCATTCCAGGAGCGCGGTAAAGTTAGTTTTAGGTTTGATATTCGCTGGATATTCGCCTAGGCTGCTTTAGGGACCGTCTGCAAATTTACCTCTCAGTACAAAACGAAGTCCAATAATTAATACAAATTATGTTTACAACGCCATAGTAAATGCCTTGTGGGCAAACTGACAGAAAATATTTAACCAATATGTCGCCATAGACAATATCTCCCTTACTGTATGTACAGTACACAACTATTTTCTTTAAAAAATTACTGTAATTGCCCAAAAGGGTTTTATTTTATTTTACAAAGGTTGTAGTACATTCCTAGTGACCAGACCGACTCACTACAGGTGAAATTTTGCCAATTTCTCCCTTACTGTACATACAGTACATAATTAATCTTCAAAAACATTACTGTAATTGACTAAAAGGTTTTTTCATGTTCCAAAGGCTGTAGTACATTTGTACTTACAAGACTGACTTACTACAGGTGAGATTTTGCCAATATCTTCCTTACTGTACATACAGTACATAATTCTTCTTAGAAAACAATTACTGTAATTGCCCAAAAGGGTTTTTTTATTTTCCAAAGGTTGTAGTACATTCCTAGTTACAAGACTGACTTACTACAGGTGAAA